GCGAAACTTCACGGTGAGCTCTTATTCTCGTTTCACGTTTCAATCTTCTTTGATCGTTTAGGATTAGGGTTCTGATTTTGGTAGATCTTCTGATTCGGTGTACTCTTTAATATCTCTTGGATTGATCTGTTTCATGTCTGTATTGTCGATTTAAGATCGTTTTCATTGGTGTATGGTAGGTTTTGAAATGGCGACAGTTCCGGGACCATTGATCTGGGAGATCGTTAAGAGGAACAACTGTTTCTTGGTGAAGCAGTTTGGTAGAGGCAACGCTAAGGTTCAATTCAGCAAAGAGAAGAACAATCTCTGCAACCTTAACTCTTACAAGCAATCTGGTAAATTTCACATTTGTCTTTTCAGAAATAAGATAACTTTGTATGTATATATAGTTGATTGATTAGATGCATTGGATTGAAATTGAGAGTTTGCTAAGAAATTTTGATGATTTTGGTTGAAATTGGATGCTTGAATTGGGAAATTTGGTTACTTTTTATCTCTTGTTAATTGTTTAAATATATTGGACTGAATTAGAACTATTGAGAAATGATTTTTTTTTACCATATGAATTGTACTTCATTTGTGTCTTGATTCCTCTAGTTTGAGAATGAAATTGGTTGCTTGAGTTGTGCTAATGTACAATCTGATTTTGGTTGTGATTGTATAAGACTTTTATCATTTCTATTCATTGAAAAGTTAACTTGGAATGTGATTACTGGTTACTTTAACTAAATATAGTGGATAGAAATTGATTAACTTCAAAGAATTTGTGATAGATTTGTGTCTGGATTCTCTGATACACAATTAGCATCAACTGGTTGAACTAGAATAAAGTTTTAATCTTTCATTGTGGTTTGTCAGGTCTTGCAAACAAAAAGACCGTGACCATCCAGGCTGACAAGGAACAAGGTGTTGTCCTTGCCACAACCAAGACCAAGAAGCAGAACAAGCCTAAGGTCTCTGTCAACAAGTCTATCCTAAAGAAGGAATTCCCGAGGATGTCCAAGGCTGTTGCTAACCAGGTTTGACTCTAATCTTTACTACTTTTAATGTTTGTTTCTGTGCTATGTTTTCTTTGAAGGTTTCTATTTCTATTTATGTTTTGTTGTCCTGGCTCTAGTCTCCATTGGCCTTTGGTTTCTTTCCTCGATTTTTGAATGAAGGTTTCAGTCTGATGGTAGAAATGCATAATAAGGATAAAAAGGATATGTTTGAATATTTTCTTTTGGGCAACTTGTAAGAAAGAGAATATGAATTTCTTAAATCATAGATATGATAGTTGTGACATTGTTCTGCATCATGTTTCTGTTTGTAATCAAAATTTGTTCTCTCATGGAGACATTTCATTTCATGAAGACTTTTACAGTTGTGAGTTTAAATCTAAACATTTTGCTGTGTGAAATTGGTTCAGGTGGTTGACAACTACTACAGGCCAGACTTGAAGAAATTTGCTCTTGCTAGGCTCAGTGTCATCAGCAAAAGCATCAGAGTTGCCAAGTCCGGTGCCAAGCAAAGAAACAGACAAGCTTAAGCATTTTCTCTTCTAAGTATGTGTTTTGAAGTAAAAGATTTTGCTGAACATGTTTTATTAAGTTACTACTTGAAGTTGAACCTTAACACTATTATGCTCCTTTTCATTATCTTTTGGATGTTTTTCTTGTCATGCTCATTTTGTTTCTTGTGTGCCTTCTTTTGTTACATCTTTTTATCCAACAACAAGAGCTTGATTAAACCTCCATTGTTTTTTGTCAAACTAATTTACTAAATTCGGCAAAATAAAATTCTCAATATATATAGGTTTAATTAATTTTCATATTGTAATGAATTGGACATTTGGC